GCCCTCAAATACCTTCCATATACAGTACAGTATACATTATCACTGCATTTCTTCCCTTCCTTTGCTCCAGAGTACATATTTAAGACTGAGGTATTCCCAGCAATTTAAATGCTGTTCCAGCACTGATCTCTGCTGCCCTGAATAGAACCACCAACACCAATAAGCACTCAAAAAGCATTAATTTGAATAGTGTCACCACTGGCATTACTCCCTATATCTGAAAGTTCTCATTATACACTATCATCCAACTTTTGTAATATATGCATCCCCCCAGGTTTTTCACATGTTCCTTTTGTTCTCTTTAGGAATTCCTCTTGCATTTTGTATACAGTGCTCCATTTGAGTTCTTTCCATATCTAAGTAATTGGAACTGTCACCACCGCTCTACTATTATTGCTCTAATGGCTACTCAAGGACTGCTTATTAGCCTCTTGAAATTTTTGAGAGTCTTCTACAAGGCGATTTTCAAGATTATTTGGGTGTAGTCCGCAAATTATAAGATGCGACAACTTGCGTCTGCTCTGAGGATGAGAAACAATAAAAGGTGTCAGGACCATGCACTGAGATACTAAATTTACTTTCCCAATGCAACATTTTGCTTTCTTTATTATTTCATACAGTAGTATAAGGGAATCCATCTCCAAAAGGATCTTGAAACCTCTGCAAACTACGCATGTACATATGATCAGTGATCATCTGAACCACCACAAGATAAATATAAACTACATTGGCAGACCTTATACAAAACTTTATTGCAGTTTATAATTTACAATTACAACCCTGCCTGTCCAACTGTAAGGAGGAGAATGGGGGATTATTTATGCACTTGTCTGTCTGGGTTTTAGCTTTCACCTTTTAAAATTAAGTTACCAAAAAATTAAGAAATGCAAAGATAAACACAGTACAGTGTTTAGTAAGTTCACTAAGCAGCATTTAGCTACTAAGCAACAGTGACAACGTAGGTTCCAGACTTACTGTTTAAGATATTAATACCTGGATTGTTAAGGCACAATACATGTACTCCTTTAGGTGATGGCTAAAGAAAAATTTAGAATCTAAAGATTTAGCTTTCTCAAAGAAAAGATACACCATAGTGTTTAGAGAAACAAGTGCTAATATTTAAAGCTGCACCCAGCTGGTATGGCAGAAAGTCATCAATAAAACTGATTGCTATCCAAAATACTTCAGTGCAAAGTCCAAGGCAAACCCCACCTTTAAAATGGGACCCTTGCCTTATGTAAAACTGAACTATCACAGATAAGAAACTAGCAAAATACTGGAAGGCAATATAACTAATCATTAAAACATTAAAATACTGTTGACACCAACAAATTATTTTCCAAGACACTGACTAACATTTTTAACTAAATTTACTTTGAAGAAGCCATTATTGGCATGCTCACTGACAATGTTCCATATTCATTAAAAGAATCTATTGACCAACAGCACAGACGCTGCATCAATATTTTTAAAGTGCCTGGAAATAAAACCTGAACAATAACATTTACAAAGACAACATTGGTTTAGAGCAAGCTGTTCCTGCCTCTCAACTGCTAGACCACTACAGAGGTTTTGGGCACACGAGGAAGACGCGTAGCACGACAAAGATAAGAGACCTTGAAAGAGAAAGTATGTCATCTATCACTTATACTCTACAGTGTGCTACATTACACCCTCTAGAGTTAACATTTTTCCATTACATAAGTTTTAAGCATTTGCACTACATTTTTTTTTTTTTTTTAGCAAATTAGTACACGAATAATGTACAGCCCAAATGTTTGATTTCCTAATGTTGATATGTAGTGGGTTAACAAGTGTCTGCCAGCCTAATAATCCCCGTTAAAATGGAAAAGTGAGGAATGCCAACAGCACTATGCACTTGCATTACATCAATTAAGTGATGCAGTGATTCAAGACTGCAGAAAGCGAGTCTGATATTAGGTAGGAGCAGAGAAAGTAGGGCACTGTTGCACTGTTCCACTTACCACCACCACTACAACCACACCACAATCACCACTACAAAAACTATCACTAAAGTTTAGGAGGAGGAATTAAGACGATTCTCATTTTGTAAATACTGCAGTGGTACGGTGGTGGTTGAAGAACCATTGGTACATTACCAACACATTCAACTTAGCATGGGTGATGAGAGAAAGAATGAAAATGGGAGGAAATGGGGAAAGGGGGTTTGCAGGAAGAATAGGCAAGATACAGGTACAGTTGTTTGTACACATGCTGAGGCAAAACAGCTAATGAATGATGGTGAATGTTTCCATTTTTGGGCAACTTCCCAAGTGGGAGGCTACCTGTATTAGGAAGAAGGAAAAACTATGTAGCTACCTATACTAGCATGCATCTATGTGTGTGAACACACATGGGAATGTACATACTATACCAGTATGAGAGGCTATGAAGACTGCAAATCCCCAGAAGTTTTAATTTAACACTGACATGAAGCTGTGACTGCTACAAGCACCAGTGGTGGCTCAATAACCCCTAC